AAAAGACGGTGACAAAGAGCCACACGCAAAGCTTGGTACTTCCACGGAGCCAGCGGGGCCAGCGGACTTTGAGGACCCTGGAATACTGAGTGCCTCGTGGAGGCTGAGCTGTATCACTCCAATAAACAGTCTGTCAACTGCTGTGCGTGTGCCTCATCACTGCCCCCAGCCCTGCCTCCGCCGGGCCCAGCTCCTGGATCCCCCAAGTCTAGTGAGGACCCCTAGGTACGAGCCACTTCCCTGAAGCAAGCCAGCCAGCCTGGCAGCTACGGGGTGGCCCTTTTCTGTCCCCCTGGAAGCAGTTAGTTCTTCACAGACTCTCGGAAGGACCGGTGTGTGGCACTGTGGGGAAGGAGGCGTTTAGCATGACCAAGGTGCCCCAGGAGGAAGAAAACCAGGGGGGGTGGCAGAAGAGTGGAGGTGAGCGGTGGGATAACCTTCGGTCACACAGATTTGGGAGGCAGGGTCAGAGAGTCGGGACCTGGTGGGAGATGGGCCACCGGGTGTCCTGGGGAAGTGAGGGGATAGAGAGGCGGCTGGTGCTGGCTCGTTTTCAGAACTGCTCTTCCGAGGGCGGCTCAGGGAAATAAATTTCTGTCTCTCCGAGGACACCATGTGGTCATGTTGAGAACTGCAGGATGCTACCTCCCAGCCCGGCCCTAGGTTTGCCCAGGGGCTCCCTTGGGGACTTGACCGACCTTGTGAGTCCGTGCTGCTGCTTCGTGGTGCCCCCTCCCTCCTCTCCTGGCCACATGTCTTGCCCTGGTTGGCACTGGTACCGACCGTCCAAATGTCCCCGGTAACACTGCGCTCTGTCCTCTCTCTCAATAGAAATGAGAGCTCAGCACACGGCCCCTGCCTTCCTCCCCTTCCTTTCCTCTTCCCCTCCGTCTCCCCCCTACTCCTCTCTTTCTGAAAGATCAAAGAAGCAGAGCAAGCCACAGCCACCACCTCTCACCTCACCAACTCCTCAGCCTGAAAGAGCAAGAGTTCCTGTCTCCTCCCGCCTTATATTCCTTTCTCTGCCCAGCCATATCACTTCCGGTCTCAACCTTCCTAGTGCTGGGATTAAAGGTGTGCACCACCACTGCCTGCCTCTGTTTCTCTTTTAGACTGGATTAATCTCCTGTAAGCCCAGTGTGGCCTTGAACTCACAGAAATCCAGATGGATCTCTGCCTCCCCAGTGCTAAGATTTAAGGTGTGGGCCACCACTGCCTGACCTCTATGGCTAACTCTGTGGCTAGCTGTGTCCTCTGATCTTCAGGCAAGCTTTATTTCCTAGATTACAAACAATTTATCACCACACTCCCCCTCCCTTTTTCCTCTTTCCCTTCTCCCCTCCCCCTCTTCCCTCCTTCCCTCCCCCTCTCTCCCTCTCCATCACCTTCTCTTCTTCTCTCCTTTCCTCTCCCTCCCTTTACCCTTTCCTCCCTCCCCCTTCCCCCGCTCCCCCCCTCTCTCCCTCTCTCCCTTCTCTTCCCTGACAGCACTTCCTTGAGATGAGGTGGAAGCCTTTAGGACTTTAGTCTTAACTTAGTACAGCACCCACATGCTCAGAGCCAGGCTTCAGGAGGGGTGTGTGTGCCTCACACTTCAGCCCTTCATCACTGTCCTTGGCTCACGGTGTGTGTGTGTGTGTGTGTGTGTGTGTGTGTGTGTGTGTGTGTGTGTGTGGCGCAGACCCCAGTTACATTGGCTGGAACAACCTCCAACAGTCTGATCGACTTTCCAACAAGCCAGACGCCTCAGTCAAAGGGGCTGGGCTGGCTGAAGGAGCAAACAGGCAGGAGGTAGCATGTGAGTTTCCCTCGTCCCCCCCAGCCCCACTTCCTCTCAGCCAGGCTCTCAGCTAGGGTGAGCACCCGTGGGTGGCACACACAGTACCCAGGCACAAACAGCATCCATGGCACCCAGGGTACAAAAATGGCCTGGGGAAGGATACACACAGCACACGCTGCTCATGTCTCTTTTTGTGGCTCTAGCGGAGTCCCCAGCCTGCCTCCCCTTGGCCTGGATGGGGTTATATGATGTAGGTGACACAGGTCTATGGTACAAGTCTATCCCTGGGGGGACGATAGAGGTCTGTGTCCCCCAGACTTCAAACTGCCCAGGGAGGGAGAGCTGTGTGAGGAAGGGTAAATGGAAGGGATCCTGAGCAGAGTGTCCTGCTAGCTGTGACTACCATCATGTCTGCCCGTGGCATGTCCTTTTTACTTCCTGTGTGTAGAACGGAATAGGGAGCCTGAAATTCCAAGGACTTAGGTGTGGCATCCATAATGAGAACCGGAGAAAAGGAGCCAGACCCGGCAAAGCCCTCTCCAGGTTCTGAGGGTTCAAGACACTATCTAGGGGCCAGGGTGCCATCACTGAGGAGGAAGCCGGTGGTTCCAAGAGAGCTGCTTCCCCTGGACGACAGAGGCCCCAAGGAACATCGAGAGCCGAGCAGTGCTCAGGTGATGCACACAGCGCCCAGGTACAAAACTCAATGTAGCATCCCCTCTCAGTGGGACCCGCACCAGAGGGAAGGTATGGATAAAGCCTTCAGGCCTGGCCCCAGAACAAACAGGGCTTTGTGGTTAGATGAGGCTAACCCTTAGCTTTCCAGGTCTCTGGGTTTCACAAGCCCGCTGTGAAAGTAAGTGGGCTTTATCCACCATGTGTGACCAGAAAATCTGATCTCGCCCACACGCAGCTAGTCTCATTGGCCACTTTCTCATTCTCTCTGAGGACCCCATCCACCCTGTTTCTCTTCTACCTGGTGGTAAGCCAAACTCTCCAGCCTGCTCAGGGACCATCCATGCTGGGCTGATGAGGACACTGTTGCCCGACACCCCTCTTCCTCTGCCCCGTCTTCAGATGGCACCCTTATGTCCTCAGATGACAATGGCTTAAGTACCAGTTTATTCTTCGTGTGCATGGGTGTCCCAGTGCCCCACAACCATGCCTGGTGCCCACAGAGGCCAGAAGAGGGCGCCAGACTCTAGTTACAGGCTGAGGTCACAGGCAGCTGTGAGCTCCCATGTGGGCACTGGGAATCGAACCTAGGTTCTCTGGAAGAGCAGCCAGTGCTCTTAATCAGATCAGATGGAGAAAGCAGCTCCCTCACTGGAAGGAAGACGCTGGTGCCAGCAGGGTTCAGAGTGGGCTGTCCTGGGCTGGTAGCTATGTGGTTGTCCTTGTGCCCCCAGCTTCCTGGCCTGACTCTTGACCCCTCCAGACCCTGCAAAGGACTGGAAATTGAGGTTCTGTCTAGCACACAGGCTCCAGACTCAATCCCAGTGCAGACTTTGGCATCTGTAGGGCCTGTGAGCCTCATCCTTCCTTATATCTGCCCATCATTAAGATGAGTCTTTAACTGGGATACCTCTTAGGTTGGCTGAGAACCGGTCGACAGGCTCCCCCACCATCTGGCTTGGGGGTGCCCGCCGGGGCTGTTGTCCTCATTATGGACTGGCACTTGGAGTCTGCTCTAGGTGCTGATTGGGTCAGGAAGGGGGATGGGGCCTGGGGGCAGTGGGAGGTGACCCTTTTCTATCGACAATCCTGCGTCTCAGCCACTATTAGCAGGGACCTGTGAATGAAAATTCACACCCAGGTGCTAATAAACAGTGGGCTGCTCCCAGGTCCCTCAGAGGAGAGGCCCTCTGCAGGGAAGGGGCTGGCCGATGAGCTCCACTTATCTGTGAAAAGACTTGCTAATAACTTTAATTCCCCATGGGCCTTGGCCTCCTGAGCACGGGGATCAAAGGTGTACCTCCACATCTGGCCATTAGCTTCTTTTTGGAGGTGATAAAAATACTCCAAAATTAGTGAGACTAGCCGCACAACTCTTATGAATATGCCAAAATCATCAAGTTGTGCTTTTTTAAACAAACATGAGCCTCTTGTGGGGGCACATATCACCACAGCACTCCTGGGGATCAGGAGTTGAAGCTGAATGACACTCTATCTCAAAACAAACAAAACCAAGGAACAAAATCTGAGCTTTGTGATATATCTCAATAAAATGCTTATTTAAAAAAATAAACAGATACCAAGTCCCGACTTTCTGACAGTTGAGGGGGGGGGAGAGCTGTTGCCCCTAAGAGTGGGCCCTTGGTAGAGGCTACTGTGAGTTGAGTGCCCCCACGGGGCTGTTCTCTGCAGCCCACTGGTCGGTTGATGCCAGTCTCTCAAGTGCGTGTCTTCTCGGCTGCTTATTCCCGATCTGAATTCCACCAGCACAGGTCAGCAGTCAACAAGTCCTTCACCTCACCCTAGCCAGGCCTCCAAGGGGCCATGATCACATCAACTCAGCTCTCCTACAAATGTTCTCTTGGGGTTGGGGATTTAGCTCAGTATGGTAGAGCACTTGCTAGGCAAGCTCAAGGCCCTGGGTTCGGTCCTCAGCTCCGGGGGCGGGAATGTTATCTCTTTCTCCAAGCCACATGGGAGAATCAGTGTCCCTGGTGCCGCAGCCCAGCCGCCCAGAACGAAGACATGGCACTATCCTCCCGTGGCTGAGCACTCCAATGCCCAAGTCCTACATGGGTCAGAGGCTTACTTGACCTTTATGCTTCTGTAAAATACATGGAAAGGTCACCAAGGCACAATTCACACTAACGGAGTTGGATTTTCTACAGAAGTATTCTGCGTTTATCCAGTTCCTAAGGTTGGAAAAAGATGAACTACCTCCTGCCACCTTCTCTCAGGAAGCCCCACCCACTCCACCCTACCCCGCCCCTCCCAGACTGACCCACAGATAGCCGTGGACCAGGATAGGGGTAGAAGAAGATGGGGCTCCGGGCCTGTGTTTCCAGGCTGAAGACGAAAGACTCCCTCTCAGCAAACCCATGTTAGCTTTCCTGACGCGTACCAGAACTTTCAGCAAGATATGTAGGCTCGTGCATATAATCCCAGCATGAGTTTGGGCCAGCCTGGGCCTTACAGTGTGAGTTCCTGGAGGAGGAACGGAAGGAAGGACACGGGACAGGGGCGGACGAGACACACAAACACCCAATGACACCAGCACAAACGGTTTATTCACAAATAAATAAATACACACCAAGCGGCGTCTTGTGCCTGCTTCAGTTTCAGAACGTTTACCCTATGAGTCCCTCCTTCCCAAGGAGGCTTGGGAAGGTGCGATCTAGATGAGGCTCCCACCCCGGGAATGCCCACGTTGGTATCGCTGGTGCCTCTTCCAGGAAATACTCGCGGAGGCAAAAGGAAAAGTCTCTGTGCTCAGACCGGGTGCCGATCATCCCTAGTCCCTTTGACGCTTCAGGCTGGCGGCCACTCCTGCGGCGTCCAGGTTTCTAGCAGAGCCAGCACGTCGCTGCTGAAAAGCTGCAGAAAGAGTGAACAGCGCCGCAGTCAGTACCTGCCCCAGTGCCAGGTCCGCGCGCTCATCTGTTCCACGCTCCAGGTGCCTCGAGCGAGCAAAGTGACCTCAATCCCTGCCGGTTCCCCCGACCCCACCCCACCCTGTTTGGGCACACAGGGAACGAGGGGATGCTCGATAGGGAGATCGGGTGAGGTCAGCTGCCCTCGAGGTGCAGCAATGATGATGGTCCGCGCCGTGAGGCTGTAGGTCGCCGCCCCGACAGCTGGGGGCGCCACCCAGACGGCGCGGGGAAGGGGCTACTAACCGGAGACGAGTGGCTGGGCTCCATCTCCTGCCTTTCCAAGGACGCTGCCTCTGTCTCGGCGTACAGGAACGATGGGTCCCAGGGCTCTGCGACGACTCGGGGTCCAGGGCAGGCGGGCGGGGACCCCCACGACACCCCGCTGCAGGCAGCGGGGCTCCGATGCAGACCGAGCGCCTGCGCCTGCGCGGGGCCGCCGTCGGGGCACAGCGGGCAACCACGAGGTGACGCCGCG